GCAAACTTATTAAAGCGCGGGAAAACGTAAGTGACTGCGTCGCGGTTGCATGGTCGTAGTTTGCATCTGATTGGCTGAGAAGGTGGCGTGAGTTTTTAGACCAATCATATAGCGATGTAAAGCAAAACCAAATATCCCGGATAACTACGAACGCAAACTATTATACAACAAACTGACGAATTGACTTTTGCAAGTCGAATGATTAAAGCTAAGAATGCTGCGCTTCACTTATCTTTGCAATCTGGTGATGTTGTTAATGGAGTTGATTGAAAACATTGTTCTCCCAAGACGACTTGAAGAATTTTCTTGTCAGTAAGGGGAATATTACTACTGTTGTAGGCACAGTTTCTGGTTCTGTCACGCCTGTTATTGCTGGGGTTTATCCGTCCTTCACAACTGCTCTGGGTAAGCTGCTGTTGCTATCCAGTGACCATCCATGTCTGGTCACAAACTCGTCATACTCACATCAAAGTAACAGTCCCCATCACATTGCTCGTATTGTTACGTCAAATGTCATCTCACTGTTTACTTTCACATCACAAATACGTCATACACACGCCATGGTCACAGTCTGCGTCAGTAAGCTGTTGTTGCTATCCAGTCACCATCCATGTCTCGTTACACGTCACAAACACGTCATACTCACATCAAAGTAACAGTGTACGTCACATTTCTTGCATTGTTACGTCAAATTTTTACCTCACTGATACTTTAGACAGATGTTTTGCCGAGGTACATGTCATGGTTTTTTTTTTTTTGCGTCACTACATCACCACAATCTCCCTCATTGACCACAGCATTGCTTCGTTAAAGCCTCACTCGCCTTGAAGGACTGTTAGCCATGAAAGTTTTCCCTCTTTGTGGACTAAACAAATCGACAATGGTTTAGCGTGGTCTGTTGGGGACTGCGCCTTGTGAGTCTACAACATTTTGACCACTGTGATGACAAATATCGTGGTCGATAAGAGTACAGAAAACGCTAAACCACTGTCGATTTGTTTTTTTTGTTTTTTTTTTACCACAATATCGACGTCAAATTAAACGATTCTTTCCGTGCGTGACACGTTCCGTGACACATTGCATGATACATTGACACGAGCAGCATTCTCTGTACTCTTATCGACAACGGCAAATTAGCCAATCAGATTTCGACAATTGTACCAATTGTGGTAAAATTTCAAATAGTTTTAAGTTATATCTTAGTCGTCACTTTTAATGTCCAATCAAGTGCTGGCATAGGTTTTTTTTAGCGACCGCCAGGTAGGTGACGATTTGTGTCTCAAGAAAAATTGTAAAATTCTTCAATTTAACCGTATTCACTCGGTTGCTGCCTTCTCCCCTTTTTGAGTACATTTTCGCCATTCTGGTGCTTCTTTGTCTTACCAAACTGATACTTTATATTAATTGTTAGTTGATAT